TCTTCTCAGTGTAGTATTAATTTGCATTTTTCTTATTATGAGTGGGGCTGAACATTTTGTCACGTGTTTTAGTCATTTGCGTTTTCTTTTTAGTATACTGCACAATAATTTGCCTATTTTTCTATTGGGCTATGGGTCTTTGTTATTTATTTGAATGTCTTCGTTACACATCAAAGACACTATTCATTTGTCTGCATGGTAAGCTTCAAAAACAAATTTTTAAACAAGTTGCTTTTAGACAGAAATGAGAGGTTTTTGCAGGTCACATCATTTTCTGTGCATCCCTGCAGAGCTGTGCAAGGGCTGAGGGAGCAGCTGTCATGCGGCGTTCTAGAAGGCAAAGCTGGGAACTGGCAGTGGGGTTGGGGCAGCTGGGGTGGGCAAGGAGGGAGTTGTTAGCTCTTGCACTTGATAGTAAGGACTGTCCAGAAGACAGCAAAGTCCCCATTGCAGGAAGTGGTCAAGACAGGCTAGCCTGGCTCCAAGACCCTTTGCCCTTCATCTAAAATGGCTGAGGGTGGACAAGTCAGAAATGAGAGGACACACCAATAGAGCTGTCAATTTCTGATCATTTAAGCTTCTTTGGGTGATTAATAGTTATATAAACTCCCTAGAATGTAAGCTCCATGAGGCCAGGGTTCAAGTACTAAAAAAACAAACAAAAAAAAACAGTTGTGGAATGAATGAATGAATGAATGATGAGTCTAATCAAATGATGTGAGTGGCTACTGTTTCTGAGCCAGGAGGGAGCCTTCTTCCCCTCCCTTCCTTGCGGAACTGGCCCTCTCCTCTTTCTTCCTCTTACCCCATCTGAGCCAGGTCTTAGCATCTCTCATCTGGTCATTGTCCCAGCACCCCGCCCCATTCCCCAGCACCCAGGGTCTCCTCTATTCTCTAGTCAAACCTCCTCTCCAAGCAGCTAGATTCACTTCTGGAAGATGTAGCCCATTAGGTCGCTCCTCACTGCCTACTCTTCCTTGTCCCAAAGGCCTTCTCAATCTGCCCACTCCTCTAGTTTCCTCTCTGATGCCCCTCACCCTGTCCCCCCACCTCACATGCCCCATGTTCCTTCAGCAATAACAATGGTCACATTTACTGAACACGTACTTTATCTATTTTTACATGGATTATTTTTTTTAAGTCTCACAACAATCTGTGAGATCTATAAGGGTAACACTATTATTATTCCCATTTTATAGATTAGAAAACTAGGACCCAGAGACATTTAGGGGCTTACCCAAAGTCACAGAGTTGCTACTCAGAACTCACTCAGTCTGAGCCCTGGGGCAGAGCATCTAACCACTGTACTGGGCCTAACTGGTCACTAGTCTTAGAGTGTGCCATGCTCCTTCGAACTCCTTGGCCTTTGCTTATGTTGGCCCTACCTGGAAAGCTGCCCCAAATCTTGCTCATCCTTCACAGTCTTGCTCATAAGTCACTTTCTCTGCAAAGCCTTTTCCATCTTCCCTGGAAAGAGCTGTTTCTCACTCTCTGAGTTTGCAATTGAGAACTTTCTTCTGTGGTTATTTGAGGACTTCCCCTCCCCATCAGGCCCAGAGCCCCTCAGTGGGCAGAGACTGTTCTGTGTCTCCCTCCAGTGTTTGGCACAGTGTCTGGCACAGAGTGGTGCTCTCTAAATGTTTGGTGACCAAATGACAGTGGTCCCAGGACTGTCATTGTGAAGGGCTGCTAGAAGTCTCCATTTGGAAGCTCAGAGGGAGTAGAAAATTGCAGGGTCCTGAAGTAGGGGCGCTAAGTGTAGGGGTAAAGACAATTTCAGTAGCTTCACCACTTGCCCATGGGGGCAGTTCTGTCCCCAGGCAGTCTAGCTGGTAGGGAAGTTCCTCCCTTACACCACCCCTATAAGTCTTCAGGAAACAGCTGTCCCACTCCCAGGGGCTTTCCTCTCTTGCAGTGCCAGGAACTGAACTATGATGGGAAGTGATCCTGGCTGGGTCTCTGGATGCTACAGGAGGAAGTGTGGTCAGTGTTCTCATACCCGGAGCCTGGGCCACCTCAGCCAGGGCTCTTTGTACTTCAGTAACTAGGGATTACATGGCTTTGGTAACAGGGTAGTTCCGGGGTGGTGAGGACTTCCTTGAGGTGTGAGGGAAATTGCCCCATTGCCGGGGCTGTGGGGTAAGAACTGTCCCAGTGCTTCTCAGTAGCCCTGAAACTGTGTCCTAGCTAGGACTGCAGGCAATTTCTGAGCCTGACCCTCTTGCAAAGACCTTAGGGACCTCTAGCTCTTTGGCTCCAGCCCCTAGCCAGCTGACTCCTCCCTCTCAAGCTGCCTCACTTAGGAACCTATTAAGGCTTTCTATAGCCTCAGGTCCAAATGCCTGTTTGAGATCACTACATCCCAGTCTGGTAGACAGGATAGCTGGGCCCTGGGGTTAGCCAGATATGGGTGCAAATCCCAGCTCACTTTGTGACCTTGGATCATTCACTTCACCTCCTTGAGCTCCAGTTCCCTCACACATAAAATGAGGATAAATAGACTCGAAAACATCAAAATTAAGGATTTGTTCAATGGAACAAATTTGTTCCAAGGAAAGCACCCTAGACCAGTGGTTCTCAAAGTGTGATCCCTGGACCATCAGCATCACATGAAATGCAAATTATTGAGCCTATCCCTTGCTCTATTGAGCCAGAACCTTGGGGTGGGGTCTAGCAATCTGTGGTTTAGCAAACCTTCCAGAAGATTCTAGTGCATGCTAAAATATGAGAACCTCTGCCATAGACAAACTTAACAGATAGGCAACACACTGGGAGAAGACAGCTGGAACATCAAGAGTCAACAAGGAATATCTAAAATGTATAAGCTACTCCTACAAATCAACAAGAAAAAGATAAGAAACCCAATATATAATGGGCAAAAGAGCTGAACAGGCAATTCACTGAAGGGGAAGCCCAAATACCTGACAAGTAGGAGGTTCTGAATTTCAGGATTAATAGAGAAATACAAATTAAAACAGCAAATGAGATGCCACCTTACCACCCAACCTGTAGGCAAAAATTACAAAGTCAAATAATATAAACGCTGATGAAAGTGTGGGAAGACAGCATCCTTCACAGGTTGTTAGGGGAGCCATTTTAGCAGAATTTTGTGACATTTAAAACCTACATGCCCTGTAATCTAATTCCCATAAGGGTCATGCTCAAAGATGTTCATCACAGTGTTATTTATAGTAAGAGGTAGTTGGAAACAACCTGAGTGTCCATCACTGGGGGAGTGGATACATAAAACAGTGGCTGCTTAGCTTGGAATATTTTGCAACAAGCTACATTTTCCAATGGCAACAAAGGCAGTTTTTTTGTTTTATCCTCACCTGAGGACATTTTTGCATTTATCTTCAGGTAGAGTGGGAGGGAGAGTGGGAGGAAGTGAGAGAGAGAAACGTCAATGTGAGAAAGACACATCGAGTGGTTGCCACCCACCAACCCCAACCAAGGCTGGGGACAAACTGCAACCGAGGTACGTGCCCTTAGTGGGAACCGAACCCGGGACTCTCTGGTCCACAGGCCAACGCTCCAACCGCTGAGCCAAACCGTTCAGGGCAACAGAGGCAGATCTTAAAAACATATTATGAGGTGAAAAAGAAGGAACAGAATGAGATCCTTACCCAATACTATTTATGTAGTATAAATACACACACAAAACATTGTATATTTTATGTCCAGGGACATATATCAACACATAGGATTGGGTGTCCATGGCGGGGAGGAAGAGTATGGAAAATGTGTAGATGCAAGGGGATAATAAAACAGCAAAATATCAAAAGGGCCTTGCATGAACCAATTATGATGGGATGATCACTTGCCACAAACTGAATATGAATCATGGAACTCCCTGGACCTGAAGCCCTAATAATAATGTTACTTAAAAATAGGTGATGACAGCCCTGGCCAGGTAGCTCAGTTGGTTAGAGTATCATCCCAATATGCTAAGGTTGCAGGTTCGATTCCCCCATCAGGGCCATACAAGAATCAACCAATGAATGCATAAGTGAATGGAACAACAGAAACTGATGTTTCTCTCTAATCAATTTAAAAAATGGGTGAAAATAGTACCTACCTCAAAGTAAGTACCTTGTGTCTGGTCATGGAGGGCTCTGTGACATTATTACAAATAAACTTGCCTAGTTCTTCCAGGCAAGTCTCTGGTCTCTTCTCGGGGCTCATTTCTTTTAGCTTCCAAGCCTTTACTTGGGCTGGGCCATGTGCTGTCCTTATGCTGACTTCTCTCCCTCTCCAACACTGCCTTTAGATTTCTTTGGCTACCCAAGACCCTGAGATGGCTCTGTGGAGTCCTGGGTACTTTTCTTTAGAGCTCAAGCATGAAGCCAGGCTGCAGTGGGGCTGCGAGGGGCAAGTCCTCTTCCCTTTTTCCCAATCGTAAGGTTCTTCTTACATCTCACTCCCACCTCAGTTCCCATCCCATTGCACACGGGTAAAGACAGCTGCACTGAATCAGAAAGTGTTAGATGTGGAAGGAAATAGCATGTATTGAGCATCTATCATGTGGCAGACCCAGCACTAAGGTCTTGATCTTTATTAATCTTCATGACCACCCTATGAGGCAGGTGGGGCCCAAGTCAAGACGAATGAGATGGGAACCATGGGGGCTGGAACACTAACCAGACAGCAGTCCCAGGTCAGTCTGGCTTCAAATCCAAGATCTGAATAAGCAACTTGTTGGGAGCCTTAGGCCCAGGACTGGGATTCACATCATCCTCTGAGTCAAGAGGTCAACTCTCAGAGCCTTAGGCCCAGGACTGGGATTCACATCATCCTCTGAGTCAAGAGGTCAACTCTCAGTAGTGAAAAACCTCCACCTCCACTCTACACTGATGATCTGATTCAATGGTGGTGGTAGGGCGAGTCCCTGTTATTTAGTATGGTTGATTTGAGGTAATATCACAGGAGAATCAGGAAATTCCTTTAAGTCCATTTCCCTCTTTTTTTTTTTTTTTTATCCTCACCCGAGGTAGAGGTACGCGCCCCTAGCGGGAACCGAACCCGGGTCTATCTGGGCCACAGGCTGACGCGCTAACCGCTGAGCCAAACTGGCCAGGGCCATTTCCCACTTTTAAAGCTAGGGAGTAGGAGAAACAGAGGTCTCTGGGCTCTGGGAATTCTTCTCTCAGTCGGCCAGCAGGTGGAGCCCACTCAGCGCCCCTCTCGTGGCCGTAAGAAAGCTGCGCAGTCCAGGGAGGAGGAGGTGTCCTGGTGCGCAGTCCCCGGGCTAAGGGGACAAAGGAGGACGCTGACCCTGTCTGGCCGCCAGAGGGGCTAGTTGAGCCCCAAGCGACTGCCCCAGACTTTAGGGCCCATCCCCTGCCGGACATTCTCCGTACTGCAGGGACCAGGGTCATAAGGGCAGGATTGAGGTAAGGGAAAGGAGGCTGGGTGGGGAGGAGGGGTGGGCACTCCCCCAGGCCAGAATGAGTGAGATTCAGTCGAGGTTACGGCCACGGTCTCCTGCCTTCTGCCTGGGCTGCGTCCACAGGCTACAAGTAGTTGTCTTCGGTTGCCTCATTCCCGCCTGGGGAGCCCCGGGCCTCCTCGTCTGTGCTGTCATCGTCGGGGGCCAGCGCCTCAATGTCGTGCGTGATGTCAGCCAGCAGCCGGTGAAAGGTCTGCTTCTCCGGCCGCTGAGCCGCGCCATCGTAGCTGCGCACGGCCGATGCCGACGTGGAGCTCATGCTGCGCTTGATGCGGCCGAAGCTGTCGGTGAGGATGCCGCCCTCGCGGATGCCCACGCCCTCCAGGAAGCCCTCGAAGTAGCCAATGTCCTGGTCCAGGATGAAGGGCCGCATCCCTGTGGACCAAGGGGCAGGTGACTCCTGGGTTTTCAGACCTTTCCCCTCCCACAGAGAGATCACCTTCGTTGGAGATCTGAGTTCAAATCCTGACCAGCCAGCCACTCACTGTCGGTGTGGCCTTGCACACGCTCCTTGACTCTCTGAGCCAGAGAATAATGACATCGTCTCTTGGCATAGGGTACATGCTTATTACATGTTAGCTCATTATTGTTGTTATTATCACAATTGTTATATTTCCATTATATAGTTGAATGACCCTCATTAAATAACTACTCTGAGCACTGGTGGGGTGGCTCAGTTTGTTGGAGAGTTGTCCAGATGCACCAGGGTTATGGGTTCCATCCCTGGTCAAGGCGTATTCGGGAATCAACCAGTGAATGAATGAAGGTGATTTCTCTCTCAAATCAATAAATTAAAAAACAAAACAAAAAACTATTCTGAGCCTTACTTTCCTCCAGTGTAAAATTGAGATAATTACATATCTTCTCCTGGTAAGTATGTGAGGATTAAATAAGGTACTTAGCACACACTAAGTGCCCCATAAAAGTTAGCTCATTTCACTTTAGTCGCTACCTACTATGTGACTTCAGTACTTTGCTTCTTTGAGCCTCAGTTTCCTCATCTGCAAAATGGGGGCAAATAATAGTTTCTACTTCCCGGAACTGAGGCCATTCAATGAAATAATACTTGGCACATGGTAATGGCCAAATGTATGTTATTAATATTATCATTCCCATTGTTGTTTTGTTAGCCCTCCTTACTAGCTATGTGACCTTGAACAAGTTCCTTAGCCTCTTTGAGACTCAATTTCCTCATGGGGTAAGATGGGAAGAATCAGTCCCACCCCCAGCTTTGCTGTGAAGATGGAAGGGCTATACCAGTGCTCTGTTCCTGTCTGCTCTGTGACTGCAGGCAAATCCCTTCTCTTCTCTGCACCTCGGTCTCCTCATATGCTCCATGGATCTCATGATCTTAGACTTATCAGAGGTTGAGAGATAAGGAATAAACACTCCCAGCATGGAGACTGACCAGAATGTCATGGACCATGTAGGGGCCTTGGCTGACCCTTAGGGGGTGGGGCAGGAGACTCACCAAGGAGGAAGAACTTGCGCCGGTCTCCATAGAGCTTCAGCAGCCCTGAACAATAGTCCTGGATGGGCAGCCCCAGCCGGTACTCCCGCAGCAGCAGCGCAAACTGCTGAATCTCAAGGGGCCCCAGCTTACTCCGCAACTGTGGGGACACCATTTGTGATCAATCCCAGGAAGCAACCCCCCTTCCAACCCCTGCCTGAAAGGCCCAAGCCCTCTCTAAGAGCATATTTGGCCTAGCTCTCCTCTGAAAATGCTAGCTGACATTAGTTTAGACCTGTTGTTAACAAGCTGGCCTCAGGATACTCTCCTAACCTCATGTCCCACTCTGACCTCTGGGGACTTATGCTTCAGCCATGTTCGGGATTATTCATGATTCCTGAAATACCCCAGGTTTTCTCCAAATGCTAGGCCTTTGCTTGCGCTGTTCGCACTGGTACCCAGCTCACCGTGACCATGTAGTCCTGCAACTGCTCGAGGCCCAGGCCGCTGTGGTCACTCCCGCTGCAGTGGGAGTCATGGAAAGAGGGTGTGGACGTGCCGCTGTAACATGCTTCGAATGTGTCCTGGGAGCCATTGCTGCAGGGACAGGCAGAAAGGGCCCTCACTCACCTCCTCCAGCTCCTCCCCTGAGGCGGGTGGAACATGGGAGGGCATAGCTACCAGTTAGTCCTCTGGGCCTGAGGCCTCATCCTAGGTCCCATTTTCTCCTTCACGGTCCTACACTATCTGGCTCCTGGATGCCTTTCATGCCTCTTCTCAGCCTTGCTGTTTGTGCTCAGGCCATCCTGCCTTCTCTCTTTTCCTCTAATACTCCAAGTACCTTTTCACCTCTGGGCCTTTGCACATGCTGTTCTCTCAGTGCATAACGTCGCTCTCCTCCTATCTTTTTTTTTTTATCCTCACCCGAGGACATCTTTCCATTTTTTTTGTACAGAGTGGGAGGGAGAGAGAGGAAGAGAGAGAGAGAGAAACATCGATGTGAAAGGGACACATCGAGTGGCTGCCACCAGCAAGACCAACCAGGGCCAGGGACAAACTGCAACCAAGGTACATGCCCTTAGCGGGAACCGAACCCGGGTCTCTCCGGACCGCAGGCGGGCGCTCTAACCGCTGAGCCAAACCGGCCAGGGCTCCTCCTATCTTTTGCTCAGCAAATTCTTATTCATTATTGGATTTTATTTATTTATTTATTTATTTATTTATTTATTTATTTATTTATTTATTTTGAGAGTATGTTTATTAAAGCTGGAGACAGGGAAACAAGGAAGGGCCTAGAATAGAAGAAGCAGGAAAAAGACGAGGCGGAGCTGCTGTCAGCTCACTGGAAAGTCAGAGAAAAGGGGGCCTTGGGGACAGGTTCAGGGAGTTAGCCCAGGATGAGCTGTCGCTGCCCTGGGTGCAAGTCTCTGTGGGCCCCTTAGAGTTTAGGAGATGCGTGCCTATGGGGGAAGGGAAAGTCTCCGTGTGTTGGAGGGAGCGGGGTGGTGGAAAGTGCTTAGATTTTAAATGTTACCTTCTCAGAAAAATTTTCCTTGATCCCCTCAGACTGGGTTAGACCCTCTGTCAAATGTGGTCACAAAGTCTGTTAGTCTGCTCATGACATGCAAGGACTTTCCAGTTATCCTCACCAAACATTCTCTCTGACCACTCTCCTCTCCTTTACAGTCTCTGCCACAGTCACAGCGGCCTCCTGGCTAGTCCTCAAACACACCCAGCTTTATCCTGCTTCAGAATCCTTGCATTTGCTGTTCCTCTACCCAGAATTCTCCTTCTCCAGGTCTCAGTTTAAGTGTCATCACCTCGGCCCTGGCCGGGTTGCTCAGCGGTTAGAGCATCAGCCCGCCGATCATTGAGGCTCAGGTTTGATTCCGGTTAAGGGCATGTACCTCGGTTTCGGTTCGTCACGGCCCTGGTCAGGGTTGTGCGGGAGGCAACCTGTCGATGTGTCTCTCTCACATCAATGTTCTCTCTCTCTCTCTCTCTCCCTCCCTCCCACTCTAACTGAAGATAAATAGAAAAATATCCTCCAGTGAGGATTAAAAAAAAAAAAGTGTCATCACCCCTGAGAGGCCCTCCTGACTCCACAGCCTCTCTCTCAGCACTCTGAGCCTCTTTAGTGCTTATTAATGCTTATTACTGTTAAATAATGATTTCATTGTTACCTGTGCTAGCCTGTAACCCATGAAGGAGCAGGGACCTTCATTTGTTGTGTACCTACTATGTGTCACATATGGGTCTTGTCCTGTCTTGTTACCTACCCACTGTATCCCTACCGCTCAGCACAGTGTCCGGCATGTGGTAGGTACTCACTAAATATGCTTAATAAAAAGTCAACCTGCCTCCTAGTCTTTACATTGACCCAGAACCATTTTCTATTACCTACAGAGAAGCAATGTAGCTTGGTGGTGAGATTTCTTTTTTAATCCTACATTTTCCAGCCTTGCTTGTTGTGGCCATGTGACCAAGTTCAGGCCAATGAAACGTAAGCAAAAGTTGTCAGTGGGAATTTCAGCAAAGCTCTTTAAAGAGGCCCCCGGCATGCTGCCCTGATGGCTGGAGCTATGACCACCACCTTGGGGCATGAGGTGTCCTTGAGGATGAAAACAAGTGCTAAGGAAGAAGGAAAAGAGGAGCCTGGGCCCCTAACAACCACGAGACCACACATGAAGTCCTGGTCTAATATATTATGTAAGAGACAGGGGAGAAAATGCTCCCTCTTGTTTAAGCTCCTCTTTTTCAGGGTTTTCTGTTACATGGAGCCTACACTAAAGTAAACCAAAATGATTTTTTGGCGTTAGCTGTGATTGTGGACCTTGCAGGCCACTGCGTCTGGATGCCTAGGAGAGAATTACAGGCCTCCGTGGGCCCGCACTGGGTTCTGGTTGCTCCCTAGGTCTCTCAGGGGCAGGGATCCTATGAGTTCATCAGGGCTCAGTTTACCTCCCACCCTCGGCACCCAGTGTCAGCACAAATCAAAGTGGGGTCACTTTCTTCCACCCTTTCTTACCCACAGGGGGCTCAAGAATGCCTAGAAGAGCAAGCTTGTTTTTGACCAGGTTGGGGGGAAAGAGTGGGGTCCCCAGCAAGGGTGGTACCCACAAAGAGCTGCAGCAGCTGAAGTCGGCATCATAGGCGTAAGTCCCGTCGGTTCGGCAGCTCTCACCTGGGACCAGGAGACAGAGGGGCTGTCAGAGGACAAAAAGCAGGGACCAGCATCCCCAGCTCCTGAGGCCTCGGCCTCATTCCCATCCTGGGGTTGGGATGGTGGCTGGCACACAGACGGCCTTGTAAGCAAGTATAAGGATGCTAGCTTTTACTTGGAAATGGGCAGCTACCGGAAGCTTCTAACCATGATTCCTGCCCCACCCCCCCACCTTGTCCCACTGACACACAGTCGATTTTGGGTAACTCACCTCCGGTCTCCTGGCCCTCAACTTCCCCCACACTGGGACACCACCTTCCTGTCTACCTCAGGGGGTCTTGGGTATAACAGATGCGGGAACCGGTGAGGGAGTATTTTGTAAAGTGGATATGTTTGAGATGAAACAAAAAATAACTTTGAGAGGGAAGGGACTCAGAGTCTTTAGAGGAAAGCAACACCATTCACAGAGAATTAGCTCTTACCTAACCCTGTTATCTCACTGAATCCAGGTGCTTGCCTCACCTTCTGATCTTGGCTCACTCAATGTCACTTCCTCAGGACCCTTTCCTCACTCCCCAGGCTGGGCTGGTTCCTCCCTACAAGTTCCTCACCACAGCACAGCAAGTGGTTACATTGTATTTTTGTAACTACTTACTGTCACATTACCTCAGCAATACCAGCCTCATAAAGGAAGGGCCACATCTGGTTTTGCTCAGCAATATATTCTGGTGATTAGCGGAATCCAGCACATAGTAGGTGCTCAATAAATATTTGTTGAATGAATTAATTTCTTGAAATATTTGTTGCCTCATCTCATTTATTTGCCTATCATCCCTGTGGCAGTTAATGAATTATCCCAGCTTCCTCAAACCACAGTTCCTACAGATGGGAGTGCCTCCAGAAGTAAAGAACCAGCTCGCCCTGGCCGGTTTGGTTCAGCGGTTAGAGCGTCGGCCTGCGGTCCTGAGAGACCCGGGTTCGGTTCCCGCTAAGGGCGCATACCTCGGTTGCAGTTTGTCCCCGGCCCTGGTCGGTTGTGCGGGTGGCAGCCACTCGATGTGTTCCTTGCACATCGATGTTTCTCTCTCTCTCTCTGTTCCTCTCTCTCCCTCCCACTCTACCTAAACAAAAAAAAAAACAAACAAACAAAAAGAAGTAAAGAACCAGCTCCTTGTTGCTGGAACTATTCAAACAGGGACCACACTGAGGGCTGTAATTAAGGAAATTTACTTAGTGGCCTTGAAGGCAGCTTGGGGAGGGTGGGGGGGTGGAGCTGTTGCCCATAGAAGCTTTAGAACCAGATATACCTGGGTTTGAATCCTGACTCCGCCACTTACTAGCTGTGTGTACTTGAGTAATTTATTGACTACTCTAAGCCTTAATGTTCTCATCTATAAACCTGGAATCATACGGCCTCAAAGAGTTCTTTCATCCATTCAACAAATACTTCTTGAGCATTTGCAATGTCCCTGGTCCTGTGCTAGGCACACAGGATAAAGTGGCAAACAGGACACACAAGGTTGCTTGGCACATAGTTGGTGCTCAGTAACTGCCTCTATTGGTCTCATTCTCATCCAAGCCCTGATTGCATTCAAGGACCGTTCTGGAAAGCTTGGCTTTGACCTACTGTCCTAGTGGGGCTAGCCAGCTCTGTAAACAATGTACAATCTTAGGTTTCTGAAAAAACAGAGACACCAAAAACAAAAGGGAGAGAGAAAAGTTCGGTTGTGAGGGGTTTGTTCTGAATCTGACAACCAGAACATCTATGAAAAAGCTAGGTTTGAGGTCACCATGAAAACTGACATTATTTTTAAACTCCATATTGGAGGTACACTGTAATTATAGTAGAGATCAGAACCTCTAAAGGCTTTCATCGGCTCTAAGCCTTGGGGCGTCCCCCTCCCCCTAGCCTTTCGGGATGTTTCACAGGAGAGGAGCCAGGAGTTCGGGTACTCACTGCGGCTGCAAAGCCATGGCCGTTCAGGCGTGGATGTGTAGTGGTAGCCAGCCCGGTCCACGCACTCGATGCTCTGGTCCCCATAGATGATCTGGAAGACCTGACAGATGAGGGCACAGGACTCCTCGGCAGCATCCTGGCCCAGGGAGGAGGACAGAGCTCAGGCTCTCTCCTGGGACCAGGATGCCTGTTTCCTAAAACCCACTGTGAGGAGGCTCACAGAGGCCCACCTACACCTATAAAGGCCTTTAATACATTAGTTTTGAGGATATTTTCCAACAAAATAATTTCCTATCAAAATGGCTATTCTCTGGGTCTTGGACCCCTTTACAGAATCCAGTGATGATTCTAACCCTTCTGCCCTGAAAAATGCATACATGCAATCCAATTTCATGGGCCCTCCTGAAACTTATCTAAAATAAGCCCTAATTTGTTTTAGTTTACAGGTAGAAAGCTGAAACCCAGAGAGGTAATCAGCCAGGACTAGAACCTAGGTCTTCTAATACCCAGTAGAAGGAGGAAGAATTAAGTGTATAAAATTTAGGTTCAACATAGTTACTACAGTACCAGATGCCATATTTGGATATGAGCTTCCTGGTTCCCAGGGCAAAAATGGAAGCAGCATGAATACATAAAGTTCAGTCTCTGGTAGAAGGAAAGAATTTAAGTTCTTGGCTGAAATTTTTTGGAGACTGCAAATCTGAAGAATAATTTGCCTTTTTTTTTTTTTTTTAATCCTCACTCGAGGACATTTTTCCATTTTTTGTTCGGATAGAGTGGGCGGGAGAGAGAGAGAAACATCGACCTGAAAGGGACACATCGAGTGGCTGCCTCCCGCACAACCCAACCAGGGCCTGGGACAAATCGCAACCGAGGTACATGCCCCTAGGAGGAACCAAATCCGGGTCTCTCTGGACCACAGGACGATGCTCTAACCACTGAGCAATCTGGCCAGGGCAGAATTTGCTTCTTTAATCGACCTCTTTGTGTCCTCAAGCAAGAGACACAGAGACTATAAATGATGAAGAGACCATCTCCATGAAGGTATGTCCTACTTTGTATCTCTAAAAAAAGTTCAGATGTAAATTAAAATGTAACCCAGGTTAGGCATTTTGGGATGGGGAGTATACCAACCATTAAACCAGGACTGAGCCCTACAATAACCCTACAAAAAAGACAGGGAAGAAAGGATCCTTATTTTATAGTTAAAGACACTGAGGTTTAGAGTGGTTAAATGGCTTGCCCAGACTCACACAGCAGGCTCTTGGCATTGGTTAATATTAGCATCCAGGTTTTTTGACTCTAACTCCTGTACCCTCTTTGGGACCACAATGTTTCCGATAGGAGGCCAGAGGCTAAGACACTCCTGGGAAACAACTTTTCATTTATTTATTTATTCCATAAATTTTCATTTAGTCCTATTGTGTGGCAGGTACTGGGTCAGGATCTGAAGTCTCAGAGATGAATGAGATGAGGTCTGTACCCTAAGGCCCTCACAGTCCACTGGGATAAATAGGGTACAAACTCACTTTCCCTGTGGAAAATGAATTTCTCTTCTAGTTATCACTGCAACCCGCTTATTTTCTTGTTGGTCCCTATCACAAGGTATAATAATATATGATTTAATTGATCTGTTCATTCTATATTTATTGAGTACCTATTATGTGCCAGGCACTGTTCTAGGAACCAGATACCACAGTGAACCACCCAGAACCTACAGGTCTCTTGCATTCTACAAAGAGACTAATCTGTGTGGAGTGGAGTGAATAAAGGAGGAGAGTAGAAAGAGACAAGGCCAGAGAGGAAATGGTGATGGTGGCTGGGACCACTATTATAAGATAGATGCCTTATAAGCAATTGTAAGGACATTAGCTTTTATTCTGAGTGAAATGGGGAGTCATTGAAAGATTCTGAGCAGTGACATGATGTTACTTAAGTGTTTTTATTTTTATTTTTTTTATCTTTATTGAATTTAGGGAGAGAGAAGGAAAGAGGGAGAGAGGAGGAAAGAGGGAGAGAGAGATAAAAACATCGATGAAAGAGAACATTGATTGGCCACCTCCTGCATGCCCCCCACTGGGGATTTGGCGCACAACTTGGGCACGTGCCCTGACCAGGAATTGAACCGGCGACCTCTTGGTGAATGGGTCGATGCTCAACCACTGAGCTACAGTGACCGGGCATAACTTAAATGTTAATAGGACTGCTCTGACTGTGTGTGGGGAGAGATTATAAACAAGGGGTGATTGCATGATTCAGATTAAAAATGGGGCATGAACCTGGGTGGGGACAGTAGACAGTGGGGAGAAAAAGAAGGGTTTTGGTTATATTTTAAAAATAGGGTCAAGAGGATTCATTGACGAGTGGGTATGGGTTGTGTGAAAGAGAAAGGGGAGCCAAGGATCAGTGTGAGGTTCTGGTATGAGCAACAGAAGGACAGAACTGCCATTAATCAAGACAGGGATACCAAGGCAGAAGTAAGTTTGGAGGAGAAGACTGGGAGCTCAGCTTTTGATGTCAGTAGACCTTCAAATGTAGGTGCAGAATGGAAAAATGTGTCTAGAGATTTGATGATGAGAGATTAACTTTGGGGAGTTCTCAGTGTTTTAAATACCCCAAGACTAAAGGAGACCATCTAGAAATGGGTATAAGAGATAAGAGGATCAAGGACTAACTCTGGAGCACTCCAGCCTTAAGGCTGAAGAGAAGAGGATGAAGCAGCTCTTGAGAAGGAGTAGCCAAGGATGTAGGAGGAAAACCAGGAGAATGGAGAGAGCTGGAAGCCAAGTGAGAAAGTGTTTCAGGGAAGAGTGCATCAGCTCCAGAGTCCAAGTTTTCTGATTATTATCCATCTCTCCCTTTGGACAGGCACCATGGTTTATATACAGAAGGAGTCAAGGACCCTGGGTCAGAGGAAAAGCTTAGCAGCCTCAAGGCTTGAAGGTGCCTGCTAGACTGTGAGCTCCCTAAGAGAGGACACCAACTATGTCTCGTTTATCTCTGTATCCACAGCACCTAGCCCAATACCTAGCCCAAGCTGGTGCTCAATAAATATGGTCAAATGAACAAAAGCAAGGGTGAATGTGTGGAGGGAGGGTAGGTGAGGAAAGAATGGCAGAAAGGCTTCTGCCTTGGGTGACAACATGGTCACCAAGACAGGCTCTGAACTTCCTGGGTCCCAATGTTCAAATCACCACCTGCTTCCTATGTGACCTCTCACAAGTCTCTGAGCCTCTATGGAATGGATATGGTTGAAATATTTGCTTCTACTGGTTACTGTTAGAATGAAATAAGTTAATGCTGGTTCTGTGTCTGGCATGGGTTGGCACCGGATGCATGCTGGTATTTAGTGTCCTCATGATTGTTACTGTGGTAGCAAGGACACTGACGATATTGGAGAAAGAGCAGGGTTGGAGGAGGGATTAAATCAAGTCTATTTTGACCATTTTGAGTTTTCATCCCATTGGGACAGTATGCGGGAAGTGTCCTGGAGGGGTCCGAGGCTGGAGTTAAGAAGCCCTTTGGCGTCATGGACACTCGGGTAGTAACTGAAGTACTAGGTAGGGCCGACAGAGGGAGAAGCGAAGAGGCCAGGGTAGAGCCCAGGAACTTCGAGAACCGGGCGGGATGAGGATGGGAAGCGGCGCCACGGGAGGCAGAGCGCAGGGGCGCGGGGTGCCTTCGGGCTCACCCTGTTGGCCACAGCCAAGATGACGAGGTTGCAGTAGGCGTCGGGGCTGGAGTCCTGCGGGTCCAGGGGGTTGGAGCCAGGGTGGCGCCGCTCCCAGCTGCCGCCGCCGCCGCCGCCCGCCTGCCTCCGCTCCCAGCTGCCACCTGGCTTGCCAGCGCCGCCGCCGCCGCCGCCGTGCCGCCGCTCCCAGCTGCCGCTGAACGTCTGCCGCCGCTCCCAGCTGCCGGACGCCCGCGCCCCGGCGCGCTGTCGCTCCAGGCTGCCGCCGCCGCCGCCGCCCGCCCGGGCCTCCGCGCCCGCGCCCCCGCCCCACGCCATCCTCCAGTCCAGGCTGCAGATGGTGTGACGCCGCTCTGTGGTGCCCACCCGCCGCTTCTCCGGGGCCGCGCCCGGCGGGCCCGGGTCGCGCCCTGCCCCGCCGGGGCTGGCGTCCACACCGGCCGGCACAGGGTCCACGCCCAGACCTGGGAGAGGCCGGGTGGCTGTCAGCCGTAGCAAATAGGGCTAAGAGCGCCCTCCTGAGGCCACCTGGAGTGCCCGAGGGCGCCGTGGCGGTGCCCTGCCGCTTGGGCCCCGCCCCTGGCCTCTGGGCCCACCCTTAGCTTAAAAGGCCTCGGGCGACCTGGCGGGTTGGGCTCAGCGGTTAGGGCATCAGCCCGAGGACCGGAGGGTCCGGGTTTCATTTCCGGTCAAGGGCAGGTTCGATCCCCGGCCCTGGTCAGGGTCGTGGGAGAGGCAACCAATCGATGTATCTCTCACATTGATGTTTCTACTCTTCTCCCCTCCCCCCCCAATATATCCTCGGGTAAGGATTAACAACAAAAAAAGTCCATAGGCTAGACCCACCCTCACTTCGCCTTCCACCCCTGGTTTTGGCTCCGCGGGCCGTTCCCATCCGCCCCGCTCCACCTCGCGCCCCTAGCCTCACACCCTGCGGTAGGACCTAAGGGTGGACAGGCTGTCCCTTCCCTCTGTACCCTTAACCTTGTCCCTTGTTTCAGGGCCCCCTCCTTGGATTCCAGTTTCCCTTCAACCCCGCCCCTGGCTTCAGGCCCCGCGCCTAACTTGGTGACGTCTGACATCTCCCACCGGCTACCTGAGCCTCCAGTTCCGCCCCCTGCTTCTGCTTCTGCTCCCGCTCCTACATCAGACTCCGCCCCTTGCTGAACTTCCACCCTGTCCTCAGGGCGCTGCGGCTACACGCCCCCTTTGACCTCGCCCTTTGACTTCCCGCCCTTCCGCAGGGTTCTGGCTTCTCCACCCTTCCCCAGGCCTCACCACGTGACCTAAGGATGGTGGGTCAGGCCGCCCACTCTTCAACCTCAACCTTGGGCTCGCTTTTACTGCATATGGCCATGGCCTGACTTTAGTCTCAGGATAGGGTGGTCAGGCCTTTTCCATCACCCTATCATCCAGCCTCAGGCCTCGCTCCCGCCCTAGGTCACACACATTCTCAAAACAAGAAGTTGAGTCTTGTCTCTCTTCACCTCCTGGCCCTGTCCCCCGACAGGCTCCACCCTTTGTACCTGTCTTAAGCACCAGCAAGTGCAGAGCATCGTCCTGCAGGTAGGAGGCGGCGGCGATCTCGTGGGTGGGGATACGCAGGATGAGCTCCTCGTTGTCGCGCCAGGTGAGCAGCAGGCAGCGGGCGGACAGGCTCAAGATGCTGTCCTGCTCCGCTGTAGTCTTCAGCGGCAACTCCTTCAGCTGCTGTGGGGGAGGTCGGATCTCCTGAGTCCCTGGGGGCCTTGGGTGGCAGAGGGAGAAGGGGACAGACCCTGGCCTCTCCCCTCTCCAGAGCCTTACCCTGGCAGTGTCCAGCAGCTGCAGGAGCTCATCCCGGCTGGAGGGGTTCAGTGATGAGGTTACCCAGGTGAGGTGGCCCAGAAACTGGATGGCAAACGGGGATGGGTGGGAAGAGTGGTGGGAGAAGGGCAGAAAGAGGTCACTCTGAAGCCTTGGAGGACCCTGACCTCCTCACTGACACAGTGCTGATAGACTGAGATAGAAATATCTGAAATAATAAGAAACTGATCATTGTTACTGAGCCAGTTATAGAAGCCAGACAGTCCTGAGGGCTTTATGCATTCACTCATTCATCCTCACTTTAAGCATGAAAACTAAGGCACAGCAAAGGTAAATAACATGCCCAATTTGTATCACTAGAAAAGGCAAAACTGGAGTCCACACACAAGAGCCCAAACTCTCGCTGCTAGCTTATATTGCCAGAACACAGTTATTTAGCTATGACGGAATCAAAAGTCATTATAATAGCTTGAAAGAACTGACCACCTGTGAATTCCTGCTTGGGCTGCGTGGCTCTGTCCACCCCAAGCACCAGGATCAACTGACTGTGCAAGTCACTCACCCTCTTTACGATCTTGTTGCAGAAGTCAAATGGAAAGGAATGAACGTTGTATCAAACTAGTACATAATTTTGTCAGAAAAGCAATGCCCCAAATCAATAAATTGGTTCTTCATTCATTCTTAGTTATAACATAATGATATCACTTAACTTGTATGTTGTTCCATCAATATAAGAATAAACTTTTTTCATTATTTTTAGTTTTATTCTTCTAGGTGGATTTACCTAATCAAACCTTTTCTTTTATTCTGTATGAAATTTCAGTCCTCAAATTTTAAGTGGCCTTTTCTTTTATTCTGTATGAAATTTCAGTCCTCAAATTTTAAGTGAATTAATTTGTTAGCATTTCCCTCCATATGGAGTTGCCAGATAAAATAAAGATTCCGGTTATATTTGAATTTTACATAGAGGAATGTGGGTGTGTTTGTTTATTTGTGTTTTAGTATTTTTAGCCCCATGGAGTATTTGGGCCATATATTAGTACTAAAAAGGTATTCATTGCTTATCTGAAATTCAAATTTAACTGTTTTTGCTAAATCTGACACTCTTAACCCCATATCAATCTTTCTTGGGTAATGAGGATTCGTCACTACTCCTTCATGGTGTTCATGAAATAGAAGTCAAGCCCTTGAATGGTTTAAGTCCCCTGTGGCTTGACAAACTGGGTTCCTTTAACCGGGATACTGAGTAGCAACAACATCACTGAGTAGCAACAACATCGCTGTAGTGGAATCTCACAGGAAGGTGTGGCTTTTTAGCACACAGAGCTCTTTTCCATGGGCTCTATCGGGTAAGTTCTGAGTCCCATGTTGAGACGGGACTGCTGAGACTGAGCACGTGTAGGTCACTTGCTGAGGGTCCACAGCATAAGGCAGGGGCGAGGCTGCCCAGACTGCTTTCCCGAGTCTCCTTTGTGTGACTGGTCAAGGGTAGGTGTTGGGGAGAGGTAAGTAATGTCTCTCTTAATGGGGTCCAGGGACCCCCAACATGGTACCTTATTACTAATATCTTAAGCTGAAGGAGTTTGAGAAAACACTCTGACCTCCCCACTCACCCTTCCCTGAAAGCAGGCGATAAGTCTGTGTGAAAAGTGCCCTCTCGCCCCGGCTGATTTGGCTCAGCGGTTAGAGCATCGGCCTGCGGTCCGGAGAGACCCAGGTTCGGTTCCCGCTAAGGATCCCTACCTTGGTTGCAGTTTGTTCCCAGCCCTGGTTGGGTCAGTCGTGTGGGTGGCAGCCACTCGATGTGTCCCTTTCACGTCGATGTTTCTCTTTCTCTCTCTCTTCCTCTCTCTCCCTTCTGCTCTATCTGAACAAAAAATGAAAAAATGTCCTCGAGTGAGGATGAAAAAAAAAAGTGCCCTCTCTGTAGCAGGAGGAAGGGAGACATCCTTGTCACTAGAGATGGGATTTAGGCCTGAGAAGACTATATAAACAAACCTTGTTACTTCTTCACCCTTTACTACCTCTCGCTCAAACCCCTCTGCCTTGTCAATTCTTCACACATTTATTGTTTCTTTGTCAAAAAGGTATAACATCTTCCTGCTCTGGTCACTTCTTAGGGCCTTCATTCTCTTGTGAGGGCTCCCAGGGACTTGTAAAACTTTAATAAAATGTGTATGTTTTTCTCCTGTGAATCTGTATTTGTTAGTTTAATATTCAGACCCAGCCAAAGACACTAAGAAGGTCAAGGGAAACTTTTTCCTCCCTTACCCCCCTGACCCCAAGATTGGGCCCACCCCTTCTCCTCATTCCGTACACACCTTGACCTCTTTCTCCAGGTAGTCACACAGCAGAATCTGGGGGTCGATGAGATAGTCAGGGGGATAAAGGGGCATGGAGTGCAGGGGCCGGCGGCTCACACTGCTCCGGAAGGCTGCTCTGCGCCCAGCCTTCGGGAACATCAGCCTTAGGAGCGGGCCCTGTGTAAAGACGGGGAAGGGACAGGCTAGTCTGGAACCCAGCAGAGGAAGAGGCAGGTGTCTCAAGCCTGGACTTGAAGCCTTATAGCACATAATTGCTCTGGCAGAAGCCTTTCTGTCTCCGGAGATAGGGAGCAGGGGAATAGGCCTATTGGTGTCTAGCCTTCGGTGAGAAGCTACAGAGGGATCTCCCCCAAGAAGACCAGGAAAGGAGGTTGGGAGTACTTCCCAAATGATCTGTCTGGTTGGGTTACCATGGGAGGTGCCTGTCTGTCTGTATATCCCAGGGATGGCAGAGGCCACTGAGAACAGGGAGGACAGGCAAGGGAGTTTGGAACCCAAATGTCTGACTGCCTAAGGGTGGGGAGGAAAATCCTTCCAAATGAGAAGAAAGGCACTACTTACGGCCCTCACTGTGCATCACTCCCATCCCAGGCTCCCCACTTCCCCAGCTCTGGGGACATTTCTCTGCCCTGCACCCCTTCCAACCTCCCACCTACCTTTTTCCCTTTCTTGACTTCATATTCCATGGTGAAGCGTCCTTTCTACTCCTGCGGCCCTCCTGGCCATCCTCTCTACCCTCTCCCCCCACGAAGTTCCTTTGTTCTTTTTCCTGCCTGGTCGGAAACTCCACCAGCCCTGGAGTTCCTGCCCCTCCTGTGTGATAGTGAGCAGAGGTGGAGGGGGCAGGATATAGCCTTGGGACCCTTCAGCTGAACAGTGGAAGCCCAGCCAGAGCAACTGACCTGGGGAGACAGCTTCAGGGACCCCAGCTTGCTGTTGAGGGGGCTGGGGAGGTTGGGAAAGGGTCCCCTAAATTTGGAGTCAGAAAATCCCAAATTCAAGCCCTACTTCTACCACTGACCTTGGCAAAGCAAATCGGCCCCCCATTTCACAGCCTCAGTTTACCCCTCCCCACTATAAATTGGGAGTCAATATTGCCTCCTTCTTGGGCTGCTGTGATAAGAACTAAATGAGAGAGTTGCTGTGAAAGTGCTTCATACACTATAGACTACTGTGTCCAAGCAAGTTATGATTAAAAAAATTAACCATTACTATTAAGGGCAGCAGTATTGCACGGGCTTCAGAGATAGGCTGCCTGAGTTTGAATCCTCCCTTTGCCACTTACTAGGGTTATGACATTGGGCAAGTCCTTCAACCTCCTGTGACTCAATTTCCCCATCTATAAAATGGGCATATACCAGTCTGACCTCATAGTGCCCTTGTAAGGATTAAGTGCACTTAGAAGAGCTCCTGGCTCACAAAGTGCTCAGTAAATATTATCTACTTACTTATCTATGTGTCTGTCTATCCTGGGTTATAAAAGGCTCCCTTTGTGGTTCTGTGCTGAGCACTATGTATTTCATCCCACTTGTTCCTCACAACATTGGGTTACATTATTATATCCATTAACACAGATTTTTTTTTTATCCTCACCCGAGGACATTTTTTTGCACTTATCTTCAGATAGAGCAGGAGGAGAGAAGGAGGAAGAGAGAGAAGCATTGAGTCGCCGCTACCCACAGGACCCCAACCGGGACCGGGGACAAACTGCAACTGAGGTAGGTCCCCTTAGTGGGAACTGAACCTGGGACTCTCTGGTCCGCGGGCCAACGCTCCAACCGCTGAACCAAACCGGCCAGGGCTATACAGATTTTTTTAAAAGGCTCAACTGCAGCCTTTAGAGTGTCAGCCTGCAAACCAGAGTCGTGGGTTCAATTCCAGCCAAGGGCACATAACTTGGTTGCGGTTCATCCCCGGCCCTGGTCGGAGTTGTGAGGGAGGCAACCAATCCCTGTGTTTCTCTCACATCCATGTTTCTCTCTCTCCCCTTCCCCTCTCTCTCCCTTTCACTCTATCTAAAGATAAATGGAAAAAAAAAAAAAAATCCTCGGGTGAGGATTAAAAAAAGGCTCAACTGCAGAGGCTGACCTGAGGAGGTCACAGTGAATAAGAGGAGGACCTGGGACTTCTGCCTGGTCTGGATTTGAAGCCTAGTTCCTTACCTCTTGGGCCTATGCACTCTGCACACTCCACCCAGGACAGCTGGAAAAGTTCTGATTGACCCATCTCCCCTTTGCCATGACACTTGGATTCTGGAGACCCAAGCTCTGGAACTGATTTGCTGTTATGATCCAGGGTAGGTTGCTTATTATAAACTCTGGGGGCTTCCTCATCTTTCCAATGGAACAGTAATCCCAAACAAAGCCCTGCCCTTCAGTCAGAGGCGTGGTAAGAAAGATATCAGGCTCTGGATGAGGAAGTGGTTGGAAATTGTGAAGTGCAGTGGCCAAACAATGCATAGGACTGTTTTGAAAGATTTTCTGAAAGCATGGGTGTGCCAGGTCAGTGCCCGATGGAGCGAGGATCAGAGCTTCCGCTGCCTGAGTATGAGGGCAACAGGAGACTGCCAGCTACCAGCCTTCCCCCTTACCTCCCTTCCCTTTTCCAGGGAGGGGAAATGGCCCAGGCTGCTTAGTGCAAGCTCACAGAACCACACCCTCCTGCTCCCCTACATCCTGCCGGTCACCTCCTAGCAGCAGGAAGAGAGATCTCCATTGGCTAGCCGGCCAACAGGAAGAGGCCAGGATGCGCAACCCAATTCCTGACTGCTTCTGACATCACAACTCCCACTGTTAAGTCCTGAATTCCACCCTTAGAGTGGCAGCAGGGACTGAAAGGTGGTTTCTTGCTCTGGCATCTCCATGACTGGCTTTTGCAAACGTTTTACTCTCTTTCTCTCTGAGCCTCATTTTCACCTAACTGTAAAATGGGAACATCTATTATTTCTGGGCTAACTCCAAACATCACTGAACTGCTAGGAATCTCAAATAGGAACAGAAATGTTCTTTCTGTGTGCCACTAGGCAAGCTATCTATGTATTCTCTGCGGTATCTCCTTCCCCCTCAACCAGGGCCATAAACAGATCAAGTACTTGGAAAATGTCAGTGAAAGTAGGTGGAGACAGGTGGGCCTAAGTTCAAATGTGTATGACCTTGAACAGGTGGTTCATCTCTTAGAGCCAGAGTCCTCCTGTGTCAAAAGCAGGATAATGCTGGTGCTTGCTTCAGAGGCTGCTGCAGGGATTAAATGGAAACGGAAGCATACAATGGTAACATTTATTATTAAAATTAGCTTGTGAATCATAAAAGAGATGAGTAAAACAAAGTCCCCGCTCTCAAAGACTTAGCAGTTGTGGCAAATAGGATTCATCTCTTTTGAGCCACCTCCAGTTGATTGGCAGGGGCTGCCTGGAGCTCTGTGTAGAGGATTAGAAACACCAGATTTACTCCCAGCATGAAAAAGGGATTGATTATCAACGCTTGCCATGGGACGGGAGGGGGGAATGTGGCAGCTGGTGTTCAATGCGTATGTTGACCCTGACCTGGTTAGCGAAAAAGACACATAGGTAAAGAATTCTGATATAAGGCAAGAGACTAGTTCGGGGAAGCCATTCACCAAGCCTGTGGCATTCAAGCCAAGCCTGGAAGGGCATATGGAGGGAAGGTCGCTCTAGGCAGAGGGAGCAGCTTGAACAAACACACAGTGCCTGAATTGTGATGCTTTTGGCTATGAAGAATAGACTACTATCAAAGGTGGCTTAGGCAATACGGACAATCTCCCAAGACAGGAAGGTCAATGGAAAGTGATTTCAGGGATGGTTAATTGAGCAGCTCAAAAAATGCCAGCAAGTTCCTTATATTCCTGCTTTGCTGGTGTTATGAGCTGAATTGTGTCTCTCAAAATTTATATGTTGAAGCATTAATACCCAATACAACAGAATGTGACTATTTTTGGAGCTAAGTTAAAATGAGGCCATACAGTGGGCTCTAATCTAATCTGACTGGTGTTCCTATAGAAAGAGGAAATTTGTACACACAGAGAGACACCAGGGATGTACACACACACACAGGAAAGACCATGTGAGGACCCAGCGAGAAGGCAGCCATCTGCGAGCCAAGGACAGGTCTCAGAAGAAACCAGTCACCCTGACACCTTGATCTGGGATTTCTAGCCTCCAGAATGATGAGAAAATAAATCTCTGTTGTTTAAGTCGCTCAGTATGCAATCCTTTGTTTTGGCAGCCCTACAAAACTCATACAGCTGGCAAGATGGCTGTTGCAGCTTTAGGATTAATACAGCCATCATTATCCTGCAAGGGCTTCCCCTTCCTGTGTCTTTATCGTGAGGGAAAACCTTTCCCAGAGATTCTTCAAACTACTTCTCTTAGGAATCTATGGGCCAGATGTACCAGCCAGAATATATTTCCGCTGTAACAAAGACCTAAATAATAGAGGTTTAGACATGATAGAAGCTTCTCTCTTCTATCACAAAAGTAGCCCAGGGCAGGAGCTTCCTGTATGCAGGACCTAGGGGCTTCCTAGCTTGCTCCACACTAGGGGTTTGCTCTCAGCTTCAAGGTGGCCCTCCACGCAGCGGCAGCCCGAACGGTACACAGAGTCCGGGGAGAGCACAACCCTCTTTTTATTTTTAAAAATCCTTAGCCAAGGATATGTACTTTTCATTGATGTGAGGGAGAGGGAGAGGGAGAGGGAGAGGGAGAGGGAGAGGGAGAGGGAGAGGGAGAGGGAGAGGGAGAGGGAGAGGGAGAGGGAGAGGGAGAGGGAGAGGGAGAGGGAGAGGGAGAGGGAGAGGGAGAGGGAGATTGGCTGTGCCTAAGTGTGCCTGGCATATAGTAGGTACTCAATAAATATGTGGAGTTCTTTGGCGTTAGAAACTTCCATCTGGGTCCTGATTTTGTCGTGGACTCATTCCCTGACCTCTGGCAAGTTGGCCCCACCCCATCTCATTTCCCCCCTTATCTGTAAAATGAAGAGCTAGGAGAGAATTCTTAAAACCTCTGTCCCGCCCCACTTCCTGGTTGATTGATTGAGGCTCTGTCCAATCAACAGAGAGCTTTGTGTACCACCGTAATCCTCCCAGCCAAAAAGTCTTTGTGGCAGAGACTATCCTTCTTCCCCGCTCCCACCTCCCCCATCTCCTTCCTCTGGCCCAGAACAGCCAAAACAATAGGACGCAGACAACACGTACTGAAATGAGTTTTAATATCTCATGTCGCAGCAAAATTAAAAATATACAAAAAGTTTGTGGTGTACAAAAGAGTCTCAGTACAGAAGCCCCAGCTTGGGGCCCCTCCCCCCTCCTGGGGGAAGCGCAGAGGGGGTGGCGGTGGAGGACTGAGGATGGCACAAATGTAGTAAATACCAGGAGGTCTGACAGTAATAGGAAAAAGAAATGGGCAGGGGTGGGGGCCAATTAGGGAGGGGAGAATCACCCGGAATTGTGCTGAGGGAGGGAAATCAGCCCCCTAGGCATGGCTAGTGGTTCCTGGAGTGGGGGGTTGGTGAAGTGGAGGGGTCAGTGCTGGGGGGGGTGCTTCAGTGGCACCCTGAAAAACCCAGCCTGCCACCAACTCACCGTGTGACCTTGGGCTGGCTGCCTCTCTGGCTTACCCTTTAGTAAATCAGGATGCTGGGTGATTAAAACCCTTTCTCTCCTCGGGGTCCCAAGCCATGAGGGTCTGCAGAGGCAGGACTGAGGACCAACTAGT